GTCCTTGCGGTCCGGAAAAAGTAACATATGGCTGGTACTCTCTACTCCCGCCTAGCCTCAGGCTATTATCGCGCTGGCCGATCCGTACGTAAACTAGTCTTTTTATTAGTTCCTCTAGTTCCTCTAGGTCCGGATCTAATCACAGTCTCGATCCCAGAATAGGTCCTTAGGAACTAGTTCCTTTCATTCCGGGGTCGGAATAGTTCATTGGAACTAGTTCATTCACGAACTACACACCTCTACTCTGGGTACCATCCGACCAAGAGAGAGAAGGCAATAAAAAAGCGAACGATCTAGCTAGGAAAGGAGTGAACACTCCACTAACTGGAATGGACCGTTCTGCTTCCCTAGTGGAAATCAAGGGTTTTTTTTTAACAGAACACTGTCTTCTCAACGAACACCTCAGTAGATTAAAGCTAAGAAACAGAGGCTAATGCAGATTCTGTAGGGAAAATAGGGAAACACCAGAACACCTCACCACAGAATGCGCCGAGACGACAACCATTCGTGACATGAAGTTGACAGATATTGGAGATGGAGAACTAACCTCAGTAAAACCGTCTCAGATAATAGCTTTTGTCAAAGCCCTGAGACTGTATGATGAGTTATAACTCAAGAGGGGGGGACACAATAGATCTGCAAGGTCGCTGGGATTAACCTCCCTCCTATACATCCACTCTACATTCTACTATATTATGTCATATATATGATGTCAACATATATCAATATCAGCCATTCGAAAGTAGTGAGACAACCAATTGCATTGTTACTATGTTTATCTAGAACCTCACAATACTGTATGAAGAAACAGTAAAAACAAATGTGTTTTGCGATGCCTTATTCCGTATTTAGAATATTTGTATTCCTAATAATGCTATTATTTAATGAAATTTTATATATTAAACATCATTTAAATTAATCTGAATTAAATACTACGTTTTTGCACAGCAGGAGCTCAGATACGTTAAAACACGGATTACCGATGCATGTATTGCTTATCGATGTAAGCGACGTGAGTATTTAGACGGGTAAACCTCTGAAAAACTTCGTCATGGTGTTGTTTTATGGCAACAGTGTAAAATCTAGTAAAATGCATTGTTAATTTATGTTGGTTAGAGGCCGACTGAGATCGGATATCTCGTCAGTAAACGTCGATTTAAGCATTCCTAAGTTTGTAGACCATAATATGGCTGAGGACCACAGTTCATACTCAGCGTAATTAAAGTACGCTCTGTCTAGATTAGCCCTGACAGCAAATATAAGATCTTTAGCAAATTTTGTTAATATCTAAATATATAATATAAACTTATTTGTTTTGCACCAATTCATTGATCGTGTACCACAATGTTAGTAAAAATTATTTGAAACAAATTACAGTAGTGCAAAAACCACAAGACCGACCGTTGGAAAATGACACAGAGAACAAAAAAGACACAATTATGAATCTTAAAAAAATCCACTTGCGGAAATATCATTGATGACGCACAGATATTTTTAACATTAAAATGTATATAATTACTAACCTGGTGTGTAAATGCTGCAATTGCACTTGAAAACTATCCACTTGCTCTTGAAGCTCGTCATTCGCCCTTTGCAACTTCCTAGCGTGATTCTGAGAAGCGTCAAGTTCATCTTCGATCGCTGCCAGATCTTTTTTCAAGTCTTCAACCCGTCCTCTGAGTTTCTTCACTTCGCCTTCATACTGTTCCGCTCGTCTCGTCGTGTGAGACAGTTCAGTCACT